TATAATAATATATTTGTATTCTTATCCTTTTCTTCTCTATCCCGATAAAAGACAACTAGAAAATCTTTTGAATCCATCGAACACAGGTAATATAAGGATTATTTTACTTTTGATAACAAATAAGTTATAATTCTTTTTTATTGGCTCAATAAACTAAGTTTGAACTCAAAATAAACAATCAACAATACGTTAGTAGTTAACATTAACTAAACATTTGTTCTTAGAATTTTATTAAGATACAAGGTTAATACGTAAATTTTATAGTTAGAAGAAATAAAAGAAATACGATGGAAAAGACAAGAACAAATAATAAAAAAGAAATAAGGTTATAATAAAACTGCTTTCGTAGTCAGCCAAAAGCTAAAAGAAAAGATGACTGTTTTTAAAACAGAAACGAGATAGCTGCGTTTATAAGCATGTTTCATAGGAGGTTTACAAAGGCATTAATTCTCTTCACGTCATATCTATGAAATCACCTCTTTTCGAGGCGTGCTTTCGCCGGCTAATTTGGCCGGATCGAAAATTATTTCGCCATACATGTCCCTAGGGAGACATTAATTAAAATTCAATCTATCATCTCTGCCCGGCGGTTTCTCTTCGAAACACTAATCTAGTTTTCTCGTATACGAGTATATGGCCTAAAAGTTCCACGGTTATTCCAGCCAACGAAGCATTAGAAGTTTTCACCCGTTTTTGTATCGCTTAGACAAGAATGAAATTTTCGGGAAGTTTCTGTGTTAGCTTGGAAAAGATTACTGGTAATGATTTATTATGAACTGATGTTCATCACGGTCAGATATTGGAAAAAGCTTGGAAATTTGGGTTTTTCTTTTAGCTATAAAAAATGAAAGAACGATAATTATAACCGAAATTCTAACTAGACCACAACTCTACAATTATTAAATTTTGCGTTTCTTAAAATATTATTTTAGATAAAAAAAAATTATAGCAACATATAATATTTCAACTGTACTGGACTAATCAAAAAGATATGGGTGTAAAAATAGTAAAAAACTGTATGAGTAAGTCAACAATTGTCACTAAATTATGCAACTCATATATCACCAACTCATCAAAATCTCATGCATTCAAATATCAGAAAACCTAAATGATCAGTAATTACAAAAATAAACCTATGAATACACTCCCTTTTCATGAAAGAACCAAATTCAGTGGTTACGACTGTGAGAAGTTTAGCGCCACCATAAATCCAACCCAAAACTTTCCCTCTTGGTCAACTAGTCCACCAACTGTAAATACATTCCTTACTCGCTATCCCAAAACATTCACTAATCCAACAGTAATACATCAATCACCATGAAACAATATCCCTATATCAAAATTCTGAACATATCTACACTGATGCATCAAAAACTCAAACAGGACTAGTAGCGGCTTACATACATGGAAAAGACCATTTTAAAATACGACTCCCTCTGAGTGGCAGCATATTTACTGGAGAAGCACTGGCTATTTTAGAGGCACTAAAAATTTGCAGAAGAAAATCCGCACCTCATTATATTATAATATCTGACTCACTAAGTACACTAAAAGCTTTGCAGCAATTGTATCCATCAAATAAAATTATAATGCTGATAAAAAATAAACTCATACTACAATCAACAAAAAAAAATAACTTTTTTATGGGTGCCATCACGCGTGGGAATCAAGGAAAACGAAGCAGTGGACCAACTTGCGAATAAAGCTGCACTACATGAAAGTATCCCTGTGTCACATATGCTAACAAGAAACGACTATAAAAACTCTATTATAGAACATATTAGCCTATTAGAACTTATGACAGAGTAACTGGAATTCCACATCCAACAAATTAAAAGATGTTATAAAAACTGTCGGCACCACCTTACGTAATATCGATACGTTAGTGCGATGATCAATCCAGGATATTCTCAACATGCGGCGGTATACCCACATTTCAAAAGCGTTTAGTTTATTTTTATCCGCTTTCTTTAAGGTCCACGTTTCTGATGCATATGTGGCTATGGGAAAAATGAGCGCCCTTACCAGCCTTAGTTTTGCGTATGTTTGTGTGTTTGAAAAGTTACTTTACACTTTAACTGCCATGTGTACCATATTCCGTCGCTGGTACACCTCAACCGTGTATTTAAATGAGAATATCATTGAGTCTGGCGACGAACTATGACATCTAAAAATATCCGACGATTTTTTTAATTTTTAAAGGTACAAGGGATAATAAAATAAAAACTTAATATACATCGACTTTTTTTATTTTTATGAAAGTTTTAAGCATGTTTTAATCAAAGGTAACATAGAATGTAGCATTTTTAAACTAGAAAATTAGATACAGAGAGTCAGTTTTGCTGCACATGTTTTAGTAATTTTTTTGTGAAAACATGGTTGGCAAAGATACATTCTAAACACATAAAAGGCCCGTCTTTACATCCGTTGCAAAAACACATGTTACTCGTCTTATGTTTTTTGCAGCATAAATTTGACCATGTAGTTCATGAGTTCATGAGTTGTCCATTAATTTTTTATTTACCGCAGTATATTTAAATTGTATGAGTATAGCCTTCTAACAAACAAATTTTAAACAGCTTTACTCCAAGCTTAAGACGTTTTCTTTTTACGTGCTATCGAAAAGATAACTTGGCTCTAAATGGGATCATAGCTTCATCAATGCAAACAGTTGAGCCTGGAATCATACATTGATGAAAATTAGCGTTCATTTTATTGACCGAACATTGAATTTTATGAAGTCTGTCATTTTCCCCATAACCAACACCCGTCATTGTCTACTAGATGAAGCATGCGCAAGAGCAATTCGAACCGATTTCGGGATTTGTATTTAGCAATATCACTTTTATATAGTCAAATTTTGTGCAAGTAATCACTAAATTCATTCTCTTTCTTCTTTAAGTTTCATCTTCTATCGGAGGAAGCGTGTCCACGCTTCCAAGCCATAAACAAGAGTAGAGAACACGTAACACCGAAGCATTCTCTGGCGTAGTTCTAACCTTATATCCCGACAACAAAGAAACTTTTTAAGTTTAATTAATGATGCACGTACTATTTCAATACTTGTCTTAATTTCTTTGGTTTGGTCTACATCTGATGTTATCCATGTTCCTAAGTATTTATAGTTATTAACACTCTCAATTGCAGTATCTTCAATAGTCAACTAGATATTTGCATGTGCAAAAAGATGTACAAATTGTGTGGGTGTGCAATTCTTTCAACTAATGTACATCTAATCTAATATTTTATCCTGTATTTTTCACTAAAAAACTGCACTAAAATTTGTGGAACTAGACGCCACAGGAACCTCCGAATCCATAACTGGAACTGAAGGCTTCACTCTCTCTGTGTAACAAAGAACTCCATCTCCAAACTGCCAAAAAGCCTTGGATGATAAACAGGGAGAAACAAAACGAGACAAAAACATTATTTGAAGCATTAACTGCCACAAAACTACTTTTCACTGCTACATATTTCCATAAAGAGAAAAACAGAAAACCACAAATTTGACGGATGAATTTGGATCCATAATTGAGCCTACAACGACCCAAGTAAGAATCTATTTGGATCCATACCTTCGCCTACAATGACCCAAGTAAGATTGGCGATATTAAGAATTCGTTCACATCTTGAAATAACAAACACTTAACAGGAATTAAAACGCAGAAGATTCCATTTCTACGACGTACAAAAATTATAAGGCAACTTCGAATAAAACAATAAAAGAAAATGCTGAGAAAGCACACATCTTTAAAATAGTAAACAACTCTAAAGTGGTTTACATTAACATCCAGCAATGCAAATAAAATTATTGAAAACACTTCTGGGTGTTTTAACTTGAAAGATACAAACTAACAAGCATGGAAAAAATTCTTTGTTTTTTTTAAACATATATAAGGGGATTTCAGCAGTTTACATATACGAGGGGATTTCAATATACACCAAAAAAAATCAATGAATTGCAAACTCTACAATTTCCAGGGACTTTAAAGCTTATTTTAGAAATCAAGTGTTTTATTTGTGACGTAATGAGTCACCTTAAACTAATTCTGAGCTAAATAAGATGAAGAATAATGTTTCTCAGTGGAAACAGGCGACAAATTGTGCTTGCGTGTCTCCATCTAGGACGTACCAAGTTAACACACTCTACCGTTTTACAAAGAATAGCCCATCCGTAGGTGATCGGTGTAACGTTCGATTAACTTTTTAATAAATTGTAGTAAATATGATCAAGAACGACATCGTAACAATATCTCGAACTCGCTAGCAGAAGCTATGTCAAGAATGTTCCTATGATAGTATAATTAAATATACAAGAATTATAAACATTTTCTTTATTCTCTAGTTATTCAATTTTATTATTTATATTTTGTTCCGTCGCTAATAACCATTTGGTGGGTGCGATGTTTTTTCTATATTGACATTGTTTTAAAGTTTTCTGACTTCCACTATGTTTATGTGATAGTAGTTAATTTAAATAACCCACTTAAGCCCTTAAAAAATTAACTGTAATTAAATACAATTGAAAAAAATAAAAAAAAAATTGATGGCATTTACCTAGTGCATAAACGCGAGTTATAAGTCATAAGCAATGACCGCTTGAATCCAGTATATTCGACCACGAGAATTCAATAAGAAGTTACCGCATATCAGCACCGAATATTCCGGCGGTTTACAACACCAATTGCGATTAAAACAGCTAATTTAGCAAGTGTAATAATTATGAATAAAGCATTGTAAAACCAGTTTTTTAGTCAGGCATTAATGTGATAATAATCTGTTATATTTGTATTTGAAGTTTGAATAATATATTTTGAGTTGTAACTAAAATCTTTGCTAGTGTGAATAAAAGTTTATTTTGAGTGTTCGTGGTTTTTAAAAAAGTGTTTAAAAAAAAACATTTATAATTCGCCCCAGTAGCTTTCCTATATAAAAAAAAAATTAATTTTCAACCATCGGCTTCCAACGTCAATAAAATTACGTGGAGTCCCATGTGGGTTTCATTTGTACCCTAGAGAAAAAAATGCTTATATTTAATTTTTATTATAAGAAATTAAATAAAATCTTAAATTAACAAATTTTTATTACAATAAAGGGTATATCGAACAAGAAAATAATTTTCATCATTTAATTAAATTAACTGTAGGAATCAAAAATAAATTTTGGACCGAAAACTAGTCTGAAGTTTCATGGCATTTGGTGCAAATTACTTCCTTGATGTGATGTTCTGCACATACCAAATTTTTACACTGTTTACAAAATTGCCTTGACTTACGATCTTCATTTCGACTACATAAGTAGCAACGTCCACTTGAAGATCGTTCACAAGCTGCTTCAATTTGCATCTTCACCAGCGCCAACTGTGGAACGACATCTTGCATGTACTGCTTCAACGTCTTATTCAATCGTACTCCCTCATTATATCGCCGGGTAATATTTTCTTTTACTAAAGCTTCTCCTAGATTTAGTAAAAAATTACGTCTATCATCTTTTTCTCTAGATGAATCCGGGTACTTGACACACCATAATATTTAACCGTTCAGGCCAGAAATATCCAATATTTGGCCAAACACTGCCATTCGCCATTGGTTGCATATCCTACGAGTAGACTATTATTTTACCATCTTATCTGTGGTATCTACTGCACCTTTTGTACGATTATAGTGCAGTATAATATCTGGCTTGTTATTTAATGTTTATATTAATCAGCAAGAGCATCATCATAATGTTCAGTAGATAATAAAATAACCGATTTGTCTTTACTGGTAACATAAGAAACCATAGTATGGTCTTTAGAAAAAGCAAACCTACTAGAATGATCAGGATTGAACAATTTGGGTAGCAACTCGTTGGGAATACATGCTTTAGAGTACCACATAGGCTTAGTCCTTTTTTTGATAGTTTTTCGACCAGTGGTAAGCTTGTAAAAAAATATCTATAGTTATGCCATACCCAGAGCCAAGTGGCTCAATAAGGTCAAGGACAACTCTTTTACCTTGATTTTTGTCGGGTGCGTTATTCTTTTTTCCAATATAAACTTGTAAATTCATACTGTAAACATTTTCGCTGTCTGCCGTGGTCCAAATTTTTAAGCTATATTTATCAGGCTTACTTTTCATGTACATACGAAAAGGGCATCGCTTTCGGAATAAAACTAGTTATTCATCTATGGTAAAATGCGGTCCAGGTGAATATGCCATAGTACAATTTTTCACAAAAGTATCGAACACCTCTCTAATAGTTGTGAGTTTATCATGCGCTTTACGCTCAGCTTTGGTGGAATGGTCATCGAAACGAATAAATGCTGTAAACAACTGAAACCTATTACGTGACATACTTGCCGGAATAACAGGTCTAGCGTATTTTTTATCGGTACACCGTAACATTTTTGGGGATCTTTTGTAGCTTGAAGTGCTCCTTGAAGAAGCAGAAGTCCTAAATAAGCGCGAATCTCTATATGATCAGTTAGCTGCCAAGTACGTGGTGGATTTGTTTCGTTCCATTTGTTAATTATCTAATTACCTATTCGGCTTTATTATTTGTTTGAAGTACTATGACTCCCAAAATATCGTCTGAGAAAAACAACGAAAATGTTTTGATTCTAGTGGTAAAGTTCGAACTATACGTAGTGAGACCTGTTTGTTTCTTCAAAATATTTTTTACAATTCTTCGTGTCTGAGGATAAGGTATTTTTGACCAATGCATACCATCTTTAGATATATACGATGGATTGACAAGCTCTTCTATTACGTTTGCTTGGTTTGTAATTTGCTGAACATTTTCATTATCGGCTTCAATCACGTCAGACAATTTTTCAATGATTTCTGGCTCCATATCACTATCTTCGCCTTCAGAAAACACTATGACATGATCTTCCAATTCATCGTCAGACTCCGCCAACATAAGTTGCTTTAATTTGGCTTTAGATAATCCTTTTGGTATTTTCAAAGTACGACGGATGCAAAAAGCCAACACTACACTATAACAAAATCGAAGTAAAAATATACTAGTACTTACCACTACAACGCTACAGGGAAACTAAATACGTGTACCCATTGCATTTCGTTCGATGTTCTGTTCTTAGAGTTGAGAAATGCGCGTAGTAATTTGGCAAAGCCACCGATAATACAGATGACATACATTCCCACGCGGGATACGAATGTACCCCAAGCCGATTAGGATTTATTTATTTTTAATTTGAAACATCGTTATTTATTTTATCAATAAGATATTATTTGCAATACCCTAATGGACACAAAATAAAATTATTCAAACGAAATAGGCGCTAATTTCAAAAATATTATAACTACCAAAAAAGTCGAACTCATAAGAATCGTTCATGTGTTTCATTTTTCATTCAAAACAATGTACTAAAACAACCGTATCAAATTCAATGATGTTTGCCGGTTTTTAAACTTTTTAATAATACCACAGCGGTTAATATTTTACCCAAAAGGGCTTATTAAATCTCACAGTTACATTTGAAACCTCATATTGGTTTTGTTCGGCGGAAAACTAGGGATGTTCAGAAATACCAAAATTTAATGTCCATATCATATCATGTCTGCATTAAACCTTCATATATCAAGTAAAATTAGTCATATTTCCGCTTCACTGAATTGCACAGGTCAGGATATGTTAGCAAAATGTGGGTGGGCGAATTTGAGTGTAAAACGCGTGCTGAAATGTTGTAAAATTAGTGATAGAGAGCGAAAAAGAGAGATGTTTGAGTCCGGCTGCATATTCTGCAATATAGCTTGTTGCAGCTTGGTTTGCAGGTATGAATAAAACATATATTATTTGTATTTTTGTCTGTACCAATTAGAAAATACTAGGTCACTTATCAAAATTAAAAATATTTCTAAACTGTTTAACATACAGTGGGTGATCAAATTATTATGATCAGTCACAAAAGTTAAGTTTTTCAAATTTGTTTAAAAATTTTATAATAAAATCATATGCTGCTATACGATTAAGGTATAGCAATATATTTTGTCACTAATAACCTTACTTTTTTGACGTTTACAGCTCTAGAACTGTCATTTGTGTCAAATTACGTGACAACATACACATTTGGGTGAATTTGCGCTTGGAGTTTACAACTGAATTTGTATGTTTTTGTATTGTTTTTAAAAGATTAGTATCGTTTTATCTTTGTAGTATGTTTTATTAATGTATTAGTGGTGATTGTTAGTGAAAAGTAACTACCAGTTTTAATTTTAAAGACATTTTCGGAACATTTTAATTTTTGAGAAAAAAAATGATAATGGGTAAGGCTAAAGACGTCCCTGTGTCTAGAATGGTGGAGATAAAGACACTTTTATTGAATACAAAGCTTTCCCAACGTCAGATATCTCAACAATGCCAAGTAGCGCAAGCAACAGGAAGCAATATCAAGAAACAAATTGATACCAACAAACCCCCGACTCACCAGCGTGCTCAAAAATGTGATCGAAAACGTATCACTAGACCCAGAGACAAAATAAAAATGAGGGATATCTTCGTAAACAATAGTAAGAAGCCAAGAAGAATCCTCACGGGACTTATTTGTGAAGCTGAGATGCCAGATTCTGACATGACAGTCCGCAGAAGGCTTGCTGAGCAAAGTTTCAAATTATGTCGCCTTACCAAAAAAAAACAAAGTTGACCACCGCAATAATGAAAAAGAGACTGAAACGGGCCAAAGAACACGAAAATTGGACAATTGAGGCTTGGAATAAAGTAAATTGCGTCACTACTAAAGTTTAAATCCCTATAACCATTGTTTTTATCCGAAAAACAAAATCTTATAGTTTTTTTTATTCACAGGTTTGTTTCTTAGATGACTCTACAGTGGAGATACTCATGGATAAGTCGACCGTCGTTCCAAGGTGAGTGGGTGAAAAATATCACAAGGATTGCATAGTGGAGCGAGTAAAGCATTCTCTTAAGATCATGGTATGGTCTGTGATCAGCAGTAAGGACACAGGGAGGCTGTACATTGTAAATGGAATGATGAATCAACATCAGTATATTGAAGCTCTTGAAAGAAAGCTCATTCCACAAATCAAAGACTTCGTTTAGCGAAAATTATGGATGTTTATGAAGAGGAAGATTGCCCAGGAATCTTTCACAAATAAACAGCATGTAATAGAGAGACTTATTGCCACCTGGTACAGAAACGATAAAATAATAGAAGATTGCCTGAGAAATATTCAAAGCATGCCAAGAAGGATCAAAGCTGACATCGAAGCTAAAGGAGGTCACACAAAATATTAAAAAATATTGTTATTTAAAGTCAAAGAAAAAATATTTTAAAATTTTGCAAAAAACGTGTTTAAGATCTATTTTTATATTATATTGACATCATTAGACGCTTACATGCAGTTTTATTCTTTATTTAACAACAAAATACAAAGTTTTTTGAACTGATCATATTAATTTGATCACCCACATAGTAAAAATTTATAGAATTATGGTAGAGTGACGAGAGAAAAAAATTCTTAATCTTAGAAAACTAACCTTATTTTTGTCTTTATTAATCATTCAATAAATATAATATTTAAAGGATTATTAATAACTACCGATTTAAGTCGAAGAAGAAACTTAGACACTACTAATGAACTAATTTCGTGTGAAAAGACGACTTATTGGTTACTATTAATACTTTTAGCATAAAAAGACTTACCTCTCACTACCAAACGAACAGGATGACTAGTAAGTGCATCTTGGGTATGAAAATCACTCGCCGTAACTTGACATTCCCAGCTGCCGTCATCAAATTCCAATTGAGCTGCTCTTACCCATATTGAACAATCACCATTTTCTTGGTTGGCGCTTGCCCATTCGTATTTGTGTGGATACATACCCATTGGCTGTAACAAAGAGTAAAGAAAATTGAGTTTTTTTTTATTTAAAACTAGCAAATAATACAAATTTAATTCAAAAACACTCAACTTCATTGAGAAAAAAATTATAACTTTAAATGGTAGCATGTATAATCTCCTAGTACCTAGTACCTAGGATAAATTATAAGGAGGCATTAAATCCATTCTCTTATCTAATTACCAAAGTTTCCCTTCCCATACCCTACTCCGATGTCGGGCAACGGTATCACCAGTACCAAGATCGATAGTAAGGGAAATGATTCTAGATCGATCTATTATTGGACACTACAAGTTTTAAATAAACCAAATGATTATCGGTATAAACAATCCCCACTTGTTGGAGCTGAGAAATTAACTCCGAAATAGGAAGAGTTATCTATCAAGGTTATTACATTAAGATATAATTTCAACGGAATGGAGACGTGAAAAGCCACGGACTGACTACCACATTAAAGATCCGCATGGATATCTTTAGCAAATATTGTCATCGACCCACTTGTCGGTAATTTACCTAATGATTATGGAGCTCGGAATCCGGCCTATATACTTAAAGATCCGGCAGGGGAAGACAATCAGATTTAGACAAAAGGGCCTCTCAGGTTGTCATCCAAGTAAATCCCTGTCAAACAAATAAGAATAACTCTGTAGCCTTAAAAATTTTAACATGGAACGTAAGAAGTTTATACAAATCTGGAAAACTAGATATTACTGTGTCGGAAATGTGCAGAATAAAGATAAATATACTGGGGCTAAGCGATATACTATGGCCTGAATCAGGAAAATGTAACAACAAAAATGGAACACTGTATTATACCGGTAAGAACAACTTTAACCACTGGCAGGGAGTTGGCATTATAGTTGATAAGAATTCTTAAAAAGCTGTTTGTAGCTTTGTTTCCTACTCTGATCGAGTATTGATTCTGTCTCTCAACTTGCATTTAAAACATAAAATAAATATAACCCAAGTATATGCACTTAATCAATATAATATCTTCATGTAGATCTTAATTAAAGTTCTTTTATTATTTGAAAGGGTACTAACGTTAGAATAAAAATCCGCGATCCATACGAGACGTCTTTATTACATAAAAATAGACTGTAAGGATGGTATTTACAGGTACACAAAATTGCAAGATTACGGATAATAGTCTGCGAATTAAAATATCGGACACCCTCGTCGTTAATTGTTTTCGTCTTTGTCTTTTTGTCTTTTCTCTGGCGGGCGTTGCATAATAATTAACCTTCATGTGACCTTGTGTGATTTTGTCTATATTTTTCCTGTCCCTTTCCCCGCGTTGGCGACCTGTGGCGTACTTAACAAATAAAACTATGCTAAATACTTAATATAAAAAATATTTCCTACATTTATAATTCATTGAAAGATACAATAATAACAGACATCAATATACTTAACCAACAAATAGTCAACACAATGCAACAGGCTCAAATTAAATATTGTCCAACAAACATGAAAGAAATCAACTTACGAAAACCCCAGACGAAGATAAATAGGGCCAGAAGCATTAAAAATTGGAGGGGATTCATTATTTGAAAAAATTAAATTATTTTTCAATATCTGCCGTCACAACGCAAATATTCCAACAGAATGAAACAATGCCTATAATTTTAATGCATAATAAAGCAGGAGACCAAGTGTAACGAGTCCGTCACTTTAATAATTCCTTAATCACTTTAAATAAAATTTTTAAATCCATATCCCCTTAATAATTCTCTTAATTTTTAAATTCTAAATTGGTATTAAACAGCGACTTCCAGCGGCCATTTTGGCAAACATGCTTAGTTAACTACAAACGAGTGGTCACCGCGGACTTCTGTTCTGACTACGGGTAAAGACACTTGGGTTTAAAAAGTAGGTGGCCAAGAATTTTTTTACCTAATAAAAAAAAATAAACAAAATAATAAAAATGTGTGTATGGAGCGTAGGACGCGAATGTAACAACATGCCTATGTGTAATATAACAAATTACAATAGAACGCCAATGTGACAAAAAACAAATAAATTAAAGCTAGCAAGCAGAGTGTGCCAGAAAGTGACTACTTGACACTCAAAAGGAAATTCGGCCAATTTGCATGCCCTACAGAGACAGTAAAATGAGTATATGAATAACAAATGAATGACATGAATGAATAATGTAAATAAAAGTGATAAACTATGAAAGTTGATCTAAAATATGATTGGGCGCCAGGCAAGAATTAACGTACTTTCCAAGGTATCTTGTAAAGCTGTTTACCAAAATAAAAAAGGAAAACAGGTATTAATTGAAATATTTAGTCTTCACCACAAATTTAATACCTTTCCAAATATATACAGTCTAATACTATATGCTACCCACCACCTTGTTACTTATATACTAAAAAAAATTCCCTGGTTATACAAAATTGATCCTTGATGGTCTGAATTTACAAATAATAAAATATAAGAAAACATTAAATGACACTACCTAAAAAGATAATTTATTTGTCTACGAGAGATGTAACTTTATATTTTGGCTTTCAAATAAATGTCCTAAAAAAGTAATGAAGACACGGAATAGATGTCCAAAGTTTAAATGTACAATAATAAAATATCAATAACGAACTTTCTGAATAAATGTGTACACATAAAACCGTACAACTGAGTTTAAAGGGAGGATTTAAAACCGCAGCTTGTAGTTGATACTTACTTAAATATTATATAGTATTATTAAAAAAAATGACAAGTCTTTATTAATAAATGAAACAGTATGATGAAAAAAAAAATATTTAAAATATTTTAAAAAATCCCACATTCTAAATGAGGGAGGTCTTTCCGGCTGGTTTCTTGAAGTTGTCTGAGAATAGTCGTGTAAAATCTAGACCTCTGGGTGAACATCTAATACAGAGGAGAATTAACCCAAGGAATTAACAGCACTGGATGCGCTTTTTTGTCCCATTGTAATGAATAGAACACACATTTAAATTAAACTCCCAGACCTCTATTTTTACAGCGGAAGCTCTTGCAATATATGAGGCCTTACTTTATGCAACAGAATAAATCTTTTATATTTATTAAATCTAAAAGAGAGTTCATTGAAATGTCTTATATTTTCCTTAACGATTTTTCCATCAATGTTAAGAGTGACATTAAGAATCTAAGCGATATATACCACTTCTTACTTAAATCAGATACCAAGAACAATACAACATCTCAGATAACTAACTTGACTGATATATCTATTAATAACTAACCTATTTTAATAATAATTTTCATTAACTAAAAAAGATATAATTCCCTTGCTTTTCTTAGATACATCTCAATAAGATATTATTATAATAATACATGAACAATATACTAATTAAAAAAGAATTTCAATTAAGCAAATTCTAAAATAATATCTCCCCAAACTGGGATCTAACTTCATCGGTTTTACCAATAAACCTTAACGACAAATATTCAAAAGAACTACTTGTAATTGTCAGCGCTTGCATTCTGAAAAAAACAGAACCTCACATTCAAACTTTATAACAATCAAAAATTTAGTTATTGCCGACAATTCAAAGAATTACTTTCTTTTAAATGTAGTTACATTGGATTTTTCGATTAACCTTGGGTTGTAAACCTTTGCGTTTTACGTTCAAAGCTACCATACATTTTCAACGTTAAAAAAAACTTTTTGCACATAGTAACAAAAAACACCACTATGTTGTTACTAGCTAAATTTTTTAACATCCTAACTCTACATTTCTAAAATTTACGGTAAGATAAATGTTTTTTATTAGATAATATATGGTAGCTAATTATAACTTATTCTCTTTCAGTACTGAAGAAGCCAAATTAATTCTCTATGGCGAAAACGTTCGGCGAAACAATTGATACACATTAGAGTTTTTCTTGCAGATTTCCCCAATATTTAAGAGTTTACTATTTAACTTATCTGCAAAGATTAAATTTCTTTTCTATTTATATATATATAATATATATAATATATATATATATATATATATATATATATATATATATATATATATATATATATATATATATATACATCCTTATCAAGTAAAGACTTTCTGTCATTAATAGCATTTTTATTTGACAGCACATCTTGTTGTTTTTGTGATAAATTCTATAAACAAATATTTGGAACACAAATGGGTAGTACTGTTAGCTCTATTTTAGCAACAATTATCCTAGACCATTTATTATACCTTGGAATCTCAAAATTGCCGTTTTCACTAGCATTTATTTATAAATTTGTTGATGACATAATATGCAGTATAACATTAAACCCTACTTAGACAGTACAAACGATCTTTAATTCACTCGATCAAAATATTCAATTCACTGTCCAGTATGAAAATAAAAATAGTATGCCTTTTTTAGATACCAAAATTGTAAGAACTAGTGAAAACAGAATCATATTAGATTGGTATCAAAAAGATACTGCATCCGGCAGATTTATAAATTAGTATTCTAATCATACTCGAAATCAAAAATTCAACACAATTGTATCTATGAAAAATCGTATAATGGCAATCTGTGATCAAAGTTTCCTAGATGTCAATTTAAAGAAACTTTTTGAAATGTTTTTAAACAATGGCTACCCAAAACAGGTAATAAAAAATCTTATTTATAACACTCACTTTTACAATAGAGCTTTAATAAGTAATCCACAACCGATTTCATACAAAAAAATACCTTACATAAAAAATTTAACAGACCAAATTGTCCCACTTTTCAAAACATTTTCGAACATTAAATTAATTAAATACAACAATCTTCTAAATTCAAGGTTGTTCTCAAAAAAAAAAGTTACAACTCCAAATTCACTAATGAGTAATATAATTTACAGAATAAATTGCATTCAATGTCAAAGTTGTTATATTGGACAAAGTCAGCAGTGGCTTAAACAACGTGTCACTTAACACAAGTTGATAATTATAAAAATCGACTCTTCCTTAAAATCGTACACATTAATAAAACTCCCGAATCAATGAAT